TCGGATACAGTCGGTACTCTGGGGTGATGCAGAGTATCATCGATCCCAGTGATACGATGTAGATACCCCCACCCTTGATCCTAAGGCGACCACCTAAGTTTGCTTCAACGCTTATGGGATCACGGGCATCGGGATCCAAAGCAACCCCGTCAGCATGTCTCTCCCTGTCCGTCCGAGTGCGGAGTGGGGCGCAGAGCATGCAAACTGTGTTGATGGGCGGCCTGGACCTTTCCAGGTGGTGACATCCAATTACGGGATACCAACTGGCTAGCCCCACTAGACTTAAGCGGGGCCTACCTGCACATACCAATGCATCCAGTGAGTTGCCATCTCCTTCGAATTGCCCAGCTGGGCCAACTGTTTGAATTTTGGGTGCCCCCCCCCCGTTTGGGTTAGACACAGTGCCCTACGTGTTCACCAGAGTGATGAAACAGGTAGTGCTGCTGCTTCACCAGATGTCGGTACACCTCAATCCATACCCAGACTACTGGTTACTAACAACCCGGGCAAGGGGTTAATAGCCAAACACGTCAGGCTAACACAGGATTTACTTGACCAGTTGGGCTCGTTAGTAAAACGACAAGTCCCACCTCGACCCAACGCGCAGTTGGTGTCCCTGGGCATGGAGTTTTGACACAGAGGTAAGCTTGGCTTATCAAGCATGTTGCTTAGCGCTAAGCAGCGTAGCCGAATGCCTAGTCAGCGTTCCCTCAGTGTCCCTCCGAGAACTAATGCGGATCATCGGAATGATGACCTCGGTTCGAAGGGTCGTTCCCCAGGCCGCACTATTCAGCTGCCTGGTATAACACTTGTTATAATGCTGAGCTCTTTTATGGAACTAGATAGGCGGGTTTCGTTCTCGGACCAAGTGAAGGAAGCCCTGCCCTGGTGGTCGTCACTGGCCAACCTCGGACAGGGGGGGCCCCCTTGGACCCGCTAGCCACAGGTATAACTCTGGTAACATATGCCTCCCCCAGAGTTAGGGAGCACATCTATTGGACCAACAAGCCCAAGGATATGGCCCTCGCATTAGTTTTGGGACTAACCATATCAACCGGCTCGAACTGAGAACAGTGTACTTAGCACTACCACGCTTTTCTACCCGTAGTTCGAGACCACAGAGTCCTGTCCGCACAGGCAACGCAGCGGTGGTCTCCTTCAAGAAGGAGGGGGGAGGGCCCTTCCCCATCGTTGTCAGTCTAGCGGAGCAGATCCTCCTTTGGTGCCTGGAATACAATATGAAGCTAACTGCACACCACCTTCCAGGGGTGAGGATCAGTCTGGCAACGCCCTTTCAGGACGACTCTGTCTCCAGAACATGGAGTGGCTGATACCCCAGTGGGTAGCCTCCAGGCTGTTTCGGCTGTGGGACGGTCCAAGGTTGGACCGGTTTGCCGCACCCCGGAACACCAAGCTGCCGACGTACGTAACACTCCTGCTGACTCCAGGAGCCTGGGCCAGGGTCGCTTTGCTAACCCTGTGGACCCACTTAGTTGTGTACGCCTTTCCTCCCTTCCCGCTAGTTCACCAGGCACTTGAGAAAACTTCGACAGGTGCACACCCGCATATTATCATGGGTCACACCCAATTGGCCAAGCAAGGCCTAGTTTCCACTTCTGTTGGAAATGCTAGTCGAAACACCAGCAGTGCTTCCAGACTTACTGGACCTGCCGTCCCAACAAGACGGCGCCCTACCAACGAGCCCAGCAGGTATCACTTACACGCATAGAGGCTCTCGGTAGACCCGCACATACGAAAGCCTTATCTGAGCGGGCTGCCAACGTCCTGGCCAGAGCGAACAGGGATTCCACCAACACGGCCTACATTTCTAGGCTGCGAGCATACACTGATTGGTGTAGCGGAAGGGAGATTGATCCATACCATCCCTCCATTGGCCAGGTAACAGGCTCCTTCGTCCACCTGTTTGACGAAGTGGGTTTGTCCTACGCAGCGATCGTTGGCTACAGGCCGGTCTTCTTCCCCACCACTCAAAACATACAGGAACAAGACTAGCCGATTGTCCTATTATTAGCTAAGGAGACTATTTACTGCTTTCCAGACACTGAGACCCCATACAAAGGAGCCGCCCAACTGGGATTCGTCGGTCGTGTTGTCTGCTCTAAGCAGACTGCCCTTTGAGCCTCTCCAATCAGCCCCACTCAAATTTTTGACGTGGAAAATAGTCTTCCTACTGGCCCTCGCCTCTGGTAGGCATCGGCCAGATCTGGGGGCATTGTCCTTCTCGAATGATGTACCGCCGTTATGGACAATCAAGTAGTGCTAAAGAGACGAATCAGGTTTCTCGCCTAGAACCAAATCCCAGGACACGATCCTCACCCGGTTGTCATCCCCCGGCTGTCCAATTTTGTCTGCCCAAAGGGTCAGGAGGAATTGCTTCTCTACCCGAGCACGGAGTTGCCAGGCACATATCTTTGTGTTATGGCCCAGGCAGGCAGGATAGGCGGGCCTCCCTAACTTCCATAACCAGGTGGTTTACTGCGACTGTATTAGAGGTCTATAATACTTTATCTTCCTCGACACAGTGCTTGCAGAGACACCAAGTACGAGCGCATGAAGTCTGTGCGATTTCTAACTCGCTAGTGCTAGCGTCACCCCCCCCCCCCCCAGCACACATGGAGGGCAGGTTTCTGGAGAACGCAGAATGTCTTTATCAACTACCACCTAACGAGACACCGAATCCATTGAAAAGGGTCTCTCTAGTTTGGGTCCCGTCGTAGCGGGACAGTCTTGGTTTGCTGACCCAGCCTGAACGACCGCTAGGGTCTGTGCACATAGGCAATAAGTCAGTCCAGCATTTTATGCGAACAGATTTCTCTACCATCAGTACTT